TTTCCAGACCGTTAATTTTCTTTAAATGGATTTCCTTAGATGTTCTATTTTTCACCGTTTTAGTTCGACTCGTCTGTATGCGAAAAGTAGGAAATGCAGCAAGAAGTACAACCACAGTGGAAGATGCGACTCAAATTGAACTGTTACAAACAGGTTTTGGGTGAATTCTAGGTCACAAGTCTTGAATAAATTGAAGCGTGACTTTAGGGAAAAGGCTGAAAAGAAAGAAGAGGTAATAACGGAAAAATTAGCCCGCATAAACAAGAAAGAAGAGGATCTTAAAGAAAGACAAGAGAATCTTAAAGAAAAAGAAGAGGATCTTACTGACAAAGAAAGAGAAGGGACGGAGAAACCATCTTGTATGGAAACTTCATCCAAGGAAATAGGTAAGACTCTATATCATTTGACAGGATTGCAATTATGTCATATATATTTTAAACTGTGCGTTTGGTACAGTATTTTTATTTAGCAATTTGAAAAAATAATCGATTTAAATTAATAGTGTTTACATCAAAAAAAGATTGGCGGCCGGGGGAAGCAGAAATGTGAAACATTTCAAAAAATTAATGATGTATTTTTGATTTACATTAACAGCACAAAAGTTGGAGGAAACAAAAGGTCAACAAGAACGGTTGACCAAAGAGATGGAAGAGAAGCAAAAGGCTCTGGATGAGATTAACAGAAAATATGAAAAACTAAAGGTTTTATTGGAACAGAGAGGATATGCAAGAACAAGAACGCAGAACCTTGAGACTACTTTTGAAATGATAAATAACAGAACCTCTACTACCAGATTTAGACATAAACTGGAGACTAAAAATATTCTGCAGTTTATTCATGGTGGGGAAGAAGGCTCACTATATGGTGCTTGGGACTACCTTAGATCTCACGCATCCTCTGAATTAATGGATAGACTTATAAGTGGGTACAAAAGGGGCAAATATTTACAAGGTGTTTTTGGGAGAGCTACAGATAATTTTAATAAATCTGAAGATGCTTTGAAGCAAGCTGTTGCTATGAAATATCATAATCATCTTTCTAGACGAAAATTTAATTCAGTTTGCAAAACACAAAGTTCTGTTTTTGATCCGAAACAAGAGACACGGTTACCCAGGTGTATTAAACATAAAGATGTAGTTATTTCATTGTCTAAAATAGTTAGTGATGCTTAAGTTGACAATTTTGTGAAAAGTCTAGACATCGGTTATGTGTGTCAAATAACTGGATGTCCTGGTGTGTCACGCACTGTTACTGGATTAGTATTTATGATTCTTAATTTGCACCTGCGGTTACCACACTTAAAAGAGAAAGTTGATGTGGTTTAATGATAATTCCTTTCATTTTATTTTTCAGTTTTCAGATGGTGGAGGTCCAGAAACTAGTGAGCTAAGTATGTCAATTGGATCTCTCACCTGCTGGAATCTTGGAGACAGGGTTCGTAGCAGAGAGTATCAGTACTTGCTGCACTGTTTAAGTATAGCGGAGAAAGATCCTGTCATGGAAGACCTGTGGTTGCAGCATTCAGATGAGATGTTGCCCCTTGAGGGCAATATTCTCACTGTCTGTGGTAACCAGTGCACTGTGGAATTCCAACCTAGTGCAGATCAGTCCTGGGAGAGCAGAGCCAATAATGGGCTGAATCAAGCTGCCACGTACCCATCACCATATGCAAATGTTCATAAGGGGAATATGTGTGTCACGGGGGGTACAATAGAAAATTCAGCTCCAGATACCTGGACACCACCTTCAAAGGAGAAGCGTGAGAGAGATTTAGGCAAGTTAGATGGTTTTAGGAAGTCAGTTAGCAGCAGTTTAGGAAGTCAGCAAAAGCATGCTAGGGAGCTAGAGTTCATGAGGGAAAATGGTCTGCGACAGGTAGGTTCACCTCGAATAAGGCATTTTGCTGACTGACAGAGGACTGAACCAGTGAACAATGAAATAAATGCATGGCAGCACTTTCTTAACTTACTGTATAAAGAATCCCTCATGAGGAATGTCACAGAGACATTTCTTCAGGTTTTGAGTGCAGCAGTAACAACTGCAAACGAGGAGAAGAAAACAAAGTGAAGCAAGTGTTTCCCACCCTGAGGGTGCAGGTGAGAGAGTCTGGCAGCATGACCTCCCAACAAAGAGTGCTGGTGAGTTTTCAAAATATGTTAATGAAATTGTAAATGCTCATGTTGGGGTGGGGCAACATCTATTGGGCTGTAGTTTAGCTTTTGTTGCCAGTCTCATAAGGGAACACTATAAAGACAAAGACAAGAGATCCAACAACTTGAGTATTCGCCTTATTGGGGAGCTGGCTATAGCTCTTGCTCGATATTCCTACAGACTTGTAGATGCCCTTGTAGTTCCAAACGAGACACCTGCACAGAAAATTAAACGACTAGCACTTGGAAAGGTTGCACAGTATTTAAGGGATGCTTGTACATTATTTAACAAAGTAGACGCCAATGCTTCAGAGGTAAACAATTTAAGTGAATTATGTAAAATGTATTTCAATTTACTGGTAATGTTCTTTGAACAATCTGTTAATGTCACTGTATAGACTGTTACATATGCAATTCCCTATCATGCCTCTTTGCTTTTCACCCAATATAAAGTAGGTTATGGCATCATTTCCTTACAGGCCAAAGAATCAAAGCATTCTGGAATAAAATCTGACCTTGTACTCACTAATCGATCCAGGTCCACACGTGAATTAGGTAAATGGTGGCAGGTGATGAGGACAAACTATGTAAGGACATTCTATCTCCCAGAGCATCAGCCAATGCCCTCATCATACATATCTCATTTTCAATCACGTCTCCCACCATTTTTAAATAAACCCAAGTATTGTGAGTGTGGGAGGGAGCGAAATGAGGGTGGAACTTCTACATTTTGTGATGACTGTGTGGACATATTACTTTGTATTAAGGACCAAAACCTTAATGATAGTTTACTTGCAATTTTAAAACCTTTTCTGTGCAATGACTGCCAAAAGAGATTTCCAGATGAACAAACTTTGCAGTCTCACTGCCAATTTAGTCATGCAAGAAGTGATCATGAAGAAAGAAGACCAGCATCCAGAGGGGCAATTATTGATCCTAAGCAACTGTCTGTCAAGGATTTAAAAAAAGAGTTGGCACAAAGGGGGTTACTTGTGACCGGAAGCAAAGATATATTGATTAAAAGGCTTGAAACTGCCCTGAATAAGGAATTATAGTTAAAAACACTTTGCAGACCACACATCATTTCATGAAATATAATATTATTTTAATGTAAGTAATGAGCATATGTTGAAAATCTACTACTCAAACCAGTGTTAATTCTGTAAATTATATATTCTTAACTTTCATCACTTGAAAAATTTGATTTAACAAAATTATATCCTTATACTGCTGAATACATGGCACAAAAAACTATTTATGTGAAAAACTATTTTTCATATCTATTCTTCATGTAAGTGAATCCTTAAACTGCCTTTTCAAAAAAAATTCCTGTTATTAGTTTTACCAAACCAAAATATGTTTTGAATATTACTGTCTTATGTATTATATATGAATGGGTGAGATTTATGGTAGCACCCCAACCCCCTCCACTTCCTCACAATATATAAAAATAAAGTGAAATCACATAGCATGATTTACATAGCAATGGAAATGACCTTTGCATTTTTTGAAATATAGTAATTAACTAAAGGTACCATATAGTGAGCCTCTTACTGCTGGTTATATTATTGGATTGTATGATTCTGATCATAAACTACCACTTATACTTCTTTCTTTTACAGATTTATTAGCATTTCTTAATTATGCAACTGTAAAGGAAATAATCCTGCATGTGCTAATTAAAAGGAAAATTGGTCTTCAAATTTTTGTCTCATGCTTACTAATCTTAGTCTTTCATTCATTTAATTTGCAAGGTCACAGTCACATTATACTGGATTGTGTCCAGGATTTAATTGGAGAAATAAGATTCATTCTATCCCAGAAAGTCTTATTTACTACCCACCTTGCATTTTATAAAACTCACTAACTCATAAGACTCTGTAGGCTAGAGCCAATCACAAAATCCTGTGCTGTGTACCGCTGAATGTAGAATGTGAAAGTGACCTTTTGATTTTTAAGATTACAATCAAAACAAAAAGGAGTTGTTTGAGAAATAGCCACAGCCGATCTGCCTTTGTAAACAGTTCTCATTTCACCGTTTTTGTCAGGTTGGCGACTGAAATGTCGCTTCCTTAAAACATCTTGTCCTTCAAAACGAGCCGGCGAAAATACCTTTTCCGCCGTTTCAAGGAGGTTGAACGTAGAGATCACCTTCGATTTTCGATTATCGAATGTCACTTCAGCGCCGTATCCTCTAAACAGTACTGTAATGTGGCAAAATACAGGCCAAGGTACGAAAAGGATAACAGGGCTAGCCAAAGATGTTGCCTTTGATCGAGTTAACTTCGCAGATACTTGATTACCGATCTCCAAAAGGTAACTGTCAATTAACGGGCCGGTCAGCTCAAGCTTATTCCCACATACTTCCTCCAGTCCACTATTCATGTTTCCCATTCCGTAATTCGGTCGGCGTCTCGCTCTCCTGATCGCCTTTATCCACTCCCGCTCCAAAGTAGATTTCATTTCCACCTCGTTTACATTCCAAAACTTTTTCTCCCTTTCCGTATTTTCAGTATTTCCTCTCAAATCAATAACAATTTCTTGAAGATCAGCCACCATTTTTTTTACTGCTTCTTAGGCAGAGTTCGGCAATGGTAATTACTGCTGACGATTTTGCGCCTGCACAAACGGGAGCATTTTCCTTAGCAACTGACCATCGTGTTTAAACAAGCAGACTTACATCCTCCTCCCATGCGACCACCTTGTCTGCTCCCTAAATGAGCACTAAGCCAGACTTGAATTACACAGGCTCTTGCAATTGCACTTATTATATGCAACACAAATGTCGTGTCTCTACACAAGACCATCTTAGCCTTCACTGTGCAAAGAGCAAATCCTATTCTGACAATATTTTTGTCTCCATGCCACACCCTTCTTCCTCGGCACTGACCTCAGACCTTCCAACAAACAATACACTACGGACAGTTCTGCTTGCATGATGGTCTTGTACACAAGACCATCCTAGTGTACATTGTGCAAAGTGCAAATCCCATTCCGTCAACATTTTTGTCTCCATGCCACACCCTTCTACCTCGGAACTGACCTCAGACCTTCAAGCAAACAATAAACTACAGACAGTCCTGCTTCGAGTCCTACTACCTCAGTTGTCATTTGTCATATCCTTGCTTCACAGTCAGATCAACCCAATACTTTCTGAGAGAAAATGCCAGTTCCAACTGCATTAAACATTCACAAGTGGTATCATCTTTTGCATGACTTTGATGATAAAATCGTAGTGGAATTTTTGACGGATGGTTGGCTAATCAATTATCAGTCTCTTCAGTTGCCACCACCTATCCAACACAATCATCCTTCAGCATTGGCATTTATGGATCACGTACACACGTACATCAAAGCTGAGTTGTGTTTCAATGCCATTCCCGGTCACTTTCTAAAGAATCCGCTGCAGCAACACCTGATTTGTTCCCCACTACAAACTATTCTTAAATGTGGTTCAATCAAATGTCACATGGTCATGGATTTGAGTTATCCCCCCTCTTTTTCTGTGAAAAGTGGCATTCCATTGTCCATATATCTTGATTCTCCTTGTCAATTCTATCTCCCCTGAATCGACAGATTGTGCGAGTTTAATCTGACATAGTTAACTCTACAATCCCTTTGCCTTGTATTTCTGGTTCTCCCATATGCCTAGTCACGGCTGTGCATCTCCATTTGCATCTCAATTTTGGACCATCTCACGCTCCCCTCTTCTCAGTTATTTCTCCCACCTCTTGTGAATATTGTACCAACCAAATATCCCAAGGCTGCGAAAGGCTATACCTACAGCTAAATGAGTTACTATTGCTCTGTGGAGGATTGCAAGAGAAGGAAGCTTTTGTGACTCGGCCACGCACTTTGATGTGGGCAAGTCCACATGTGTAAAAATTACTTGAGAATTTTGTCGCGCACTCACCCAGCTCTCAAGCCATTATATTGAATTTCTAATCACCTGCCTAGAAACTACAAGAGCTAAGCTCTTTTTCAGGACGAGTCAAAAAAACCCTCATGCAGTCGGAGCAATCGATGAAACCCATTTTGAAATTGTTGCCATAGAGAGTCATTTTAGTTATTTTGATCATCAGCATCCTTACAGTGTAATTATGCAAGCTGTTGTTGGAGGAACTTTAATGTTTCTTGACATTGTGATCAGCTATCCAGGTAGTATGCACAATGCACAGGTACTGAGAAATACCAAACAGTTCAGAAAAGTGGACAGATTTTGAGGGAGCCAGTGATAACCTTGAATGCAAATTATATTCGACCACTCCTCGTTGGAGATGGGGCATACCCTCTTATTCCGTGGTTGTTAAAGCCTTATCCAAACACCATTGCCCTCACCCCATCTGTTACATGAGCTAAGCTTATGCAGCAGTCTGGCGCATAAGTAGTGATTGGTCTGAGCACATGTTCGGAGCACGAAGCATTTTCCCTGTATCTGAGTTAACTAAATAAGTTACTGTGAACCTGTTCTATCCTTTTACATGGTGTCAGAAGTGAGATTGGAAAAGAAAGGAATCTCACTGTTCGTGTGGACAACAATTTAAATGAGAAGACTGGTGTAAGTCTGGAAAACTCTACTGAGCAAGTGAAACAAACATGGCCAGTGTGTCTTTCATGGACAAAGGTCCGTCAATGACTGGAACATGGACGAAAAACCTATGTAGCCAGTTTAAAATGTGGAAGCAAAGATGCAAATTGCTATTCACCGGGCTGATGGCTAAAATTGACGAGGAAATCAAATGTAAACATTTACTATACTGGTCTGGAGAGCAGGGTATCGAACTGTTCAACAGCTGTGATCTGTCTGCAGACGAGCAAAAAAAGCTGGACAACTACGGGGAAAGATTTCAGCACTTCGTGAAACCACACTCAAATGAGTTGATAGCAGCATGGGGGCGTCATAACCTTGGACAAGGTACTCTCTCTCTTGAAGAATTTATGGCAGAACTAACAATTCTTGTGCAGGATACCAAGGCCTTAAAAATCAGCGACAAACCCCAACACTGGCTCAGGTAAATCGAAGGTTTGTAGGAACTGTGGCTGGGGTCCACATTCCACAGATCAGTGCCCAGCAAAGAATGCCACATGCCATTATTGTCATAAAGTCACCTCAAAGTTAAGAAAGAAAGATGTGCGTCACATTGAAGCTACAAGTAATGGTGCAAGCGAGTCCATGCCAGACCCTAGTGACCACATGTTTCTGGGCCCAATTAGTGCAACAGCCTTGACTAGTAGTGTTCATGCCATCTCCTGTAAAGAGAAAGCCCTCGTGGAGGTTTCCCTACCACTGAGCCCAAAAGGAAAACAGACACACGTCTTATGAAACATAGACTCTGGTGCAGAAACCAACATCATACCCACATCCGTGTACAATCAGCTTGGCCCTAGGGTCATGAATCTACAGAAACCTACCATGAACCTAACAGCATATGGTGGGACCGCAATCCCGAACTTGGGATCCTGCCAAGTGGACATTGAGGTCCCTAACAACCCAAAACCTTAAGTAATCCATGCGGAAGTTGTTGATGTTGATGGCCCTCCCATCATAGGCAACATATCAGCGCAAGGTTTGAATCTTTTGAGACTCAATTGGACCATCGCCATTGAAAGTAACAGCACATCTACTAGTCAGTCCCCTAACCCTAACCCTAACTATAACCCTAACCCTAAACCTTTCTTTTTTTTTCACACTGATAAAAGAATACCTCCTGAACGAGTCTCAAGACGTCTTTACTAGTGTTGGCTGTTTTCCAGGCTCCCCATACCATATAGAAACCAACCCGGATGTTTCCCCAGTACAACTTTGCACTTTCAGTACTCCATGGGGCAAGTGCAGGTGGAAAAGTTGCCTTCCGGACGTTCATGCAGTGGAGACGTGTTGGAAGAGAAAACTGACAATGTGTTTGGAAACCTCAATGGCCTGAGTGGTATTACAGATGATACTTTTGTCTACAGCAAGAATGAAGCAGAGCATGATCAGCACATGCTGAATGTCCTTGACACAGCGCGGGAGAACAACATAAAGTTCAACCCTGATAAGTTCCAGTTTACAGGAGATCAAACAATTTTTTGGGTTTACGTGGACCCCAGATGGTCTAGGAGCTGACGATCTCAAGATTAAGGCTATCAGATACATGCCTTCCCCACAGAACTTAGCCGAGTTGCAGACCTTTTTGGGGATGATTAACTACCTGAACTGATTCTTCTCGATCATGGCCCAGACCTTAGAGCCCCTTGGGCAACTGATGAAGAAACATACACCCTTTTAATGGTAACCAGATTATCACAGAGTGTTTCAAACAAATAATCACCGAAGCACCAGTGCCAGCCTATTATAATCCAGAAAAAGACAATGTGAGTCAGTGAGATGCAAGCTGTTTGTGTACTCATGCAAGATGGTAAGTCAGTGCGCTAAGTAAACTGATCACTCAGATAATGTTACTTTTGAGAACTTTAAATCTGTTCTTTACGGTTACTACTCACGGGCTCTAGCAATAAACTATGACCCAGAATCTCCAAGGAGCTTCAAAAGTATTTGCTTGAAATGTAACACAGCCACGTTTTTAGACCAAGATATTAGCTGCTGCATGTGATTTAAATTGCTACTTTTATATCCTTTTATTTTTTGGGTCCACAGTAATTGGCTTTAGCTCTTGCGGTGTCCCTGCCCAAATATTTCAGTGATTATTAGTGCATTGTTACGTTCTTATTACTAGTGTTTGCATATCTTCAGTGTTTTTTTTTTTTTAGGGCAAAGCTAATAAAATAAAATAAATAAAATCCCGATACAGTAACATTGAAATAGAGCTTCTAGCTGCCTGTCGGTCCTTAGAGTGGTTCAGGCACTATGTCTTTGGCAAGCAAGTGGTTGTCGAAACGGACCACAAACCAATTGAAAGCATATGGAAGAAGAGTATACCCAGTACATCACTGCATCTCCAGAGGCTCTTCTGGAAGATGCTCAAATACAACGTGGAAATGAGATACAGTCAATGCAAAACAAACGCTATTGAAGATGCCCCATGCAGAGTCTGCTGCGTGGAATCCCCTGATGAGGGCCAAAGAATACCCCTACTCGAAGTTGATGCAATTACCCACACCTTGCCTGCTGGCCCAGCTAAGCTGGATGAAATACAAAACTACACAAATCAAGATATCAAACTCAGCCATTTGAAGGATGTCATTCAAGAAGGGTGGTTTGAATATCAAATTGAATGTCCCTCCAACCTGAAAGAGTTTTCGAATTTCAAAGAAGATTTGAGTGTTGAAAATGGCCTCATCCTAAAGGGACACTGTCTTTTGATTCCAAGCAACCTGCGTACTCAGGTACGTCAGATTATTCACCAAGGCCACTTGGGGGCAGAGCAGTGTAACTTGAAAGCTGAAGACTGTGTCTTTTGGCCGGTTATCTCAAAGGTTAATTGTCTGTCAAAGGTGAACTTATATTGACACTTATGAAACTTAGACTAGGGTCCTTGAATGCAGATCTAGCTGTTCGCTTTCAAATATCTGAGACAACTGTAAGCAAGGTAATAAACTCATGGTTTCGATTCTTGGCAAAGGAGCTGAAGTGCCTAATCTACAATCTGTCGAAAGATATTGCTTAGCAGCACTTGCCTAAAAAGTTCAACAATGCAAAGTACAGGAGTATTAGGCACATCATAGATTGTACAGAAATGTTTATTGAAACTCCAAAGGACCCCAAGGTGAAAGCTGCAACATGGTCAGATTACAAACATCATCATACACTGAAAGTGCTGGTCTCCATAATGCCATGTGGCTCATTTAATTTCATTTCAGAGGCGGAGTGGTAGAGCATCAAATGTTGCTATTACTCGAAACTCGGGTTTCTATGACATTCTTGAATAGGGGGATGAAGTCATGGCAGACAAAGGGTTCACCATTGCAGAGGATCTTTTAGTAAGCCATTGCCAATTACACATCCCACCAGAAAAAAGGGGCAGTGAACAAATGAGAAAGGAAGATGTTAAAAAAAGAAGAGGTTGCGAATTTAAGAATTTTTGTTGAGCAGGCAATTTGCCGACTTAAAACATTAAAAATATTGAAGTATGAAATGCCCATCTTACTCTTGAATAAATTTGATGATATTGTCACTATCTGTGCAGCACTGTGGAACTTGTACCCAAAGCTTTGCACTAGAGGGGTTCCCAGGTGCATGGCTGTAGATACGGGCTGCTCATGCAACAAATGTGAGTAATGAACAACATCCATTAAATTAATACAACTACAAATCACTAGTGTGACAAAAGTTCTGATGCAACATAATTCTTGAAGAAAACATTCTAAGTTGCTAACTAACTTACGCCAATAACTCTGATCAAACTAAATTCACTGCATAGAGAACCAACACGGGTGAAAACGAAAAAATCACAGTACGTTCTCCCGCACAAAGCTAGTTGCCCTTCTATTTGAGCATAATATGCATGCTCTTTTCTAAGCATTGTGACATTGTCATGTTCCACAAGGTAGGGGAGATTTTTTGCAGACAGTATCTCGTTAACAATAGAAAAATGAATTTTCATTTCTGATAATCCCATTCCAACACCACTGCAATAGACTAGTAAATCTGGAGATGCCCCCAAGTAAGGTCTTGATGGATCAACAAATAGCCCACTTTCTGAGAATGCGAATTCCTTGTGATTGCACTTCATTAAAGGTATATACTTTTCTTTTGCAATGGGCTCATATTCTTTACCATGATTTAAAGCAGGAATGTTATGTCCTTTACTTGCATCATAACCCATGATTTTTCTCAAGAGAGGCTCTACACTATGGTTTATTGAACGGTTAGCTGGTAAAACTCTGGTAAAACCATAGTAGAAATTTGATGCTGTGATTCTGCCTTTGCGCTGATTAGCCCACATTGCATTGTCTGCCTGTCCCCGTGTTTCGGTTTCTATCTGCTGAACTTGTACATCTGTGGGGACAGGCATTTGTGACAAAAATTCTTCCACACTTTTGCAAGTTGCAGCTACTTTGGTAAGTAAATTTGCATTAGAAGCAACAGGAACCTCAGATGAGACATCTGTTTCATAGTCCCTTGCATAAAATGAAGTACAACAACCATTTGGTACTGTTTTCTTAAGTTCTTCAAACATGTGCTTGCGGTTATTCCCCTGGGTGTCGATATCCTTTTCCTTGGAACAAACAACTTTCGCTTTGCAGACACTGCTGCCCTTGATGCCTCTATGAAAGAAATTCACATACATATTAAAACAGCCTCTAAAGGATGCGACATGCACAGACCCTATAAGTTATTAAATCCTGCTTAGACAACAGATTGTCTTAAATAAACAAAAATCTCTGAAAAGTACAATTCCATCATACAGTCTTAAATATTTCTATTTCCCCCAAGAGTTAAAAATTTTATCTGTTACATAAGATCAGCAATATAGTGAAACCTGTATTTTTTTTTTTAATATGGGCAGGGATATCCAGGAACCATTTATGCTTGTGTCTGTATAATGTTATGATTGTGGCTCTTCTATAGTTTCAGTTTGCAGAGGTCATTAGTGAGCTGATTCTTTGCGGACGTCAGCAATTGCTTACACCAGCATGCGTAAAAGCAGTGGTGCTCTATTTTTTATTCTTTTCAATCACGGATTACCTACATTACGTCTGACTACTATGAGCCATCATTATTGGGGCATAGAACATGTTGATAACCTTGTCCAAGAGAGCATCTGTTGATAATGATGATGATGATGGGAGTCTAACAATATCCTAATAAGAACTTTACCTACATTAGCTAACATACAGCATTCACACCTTTGTTGAATTCACCTGCTGTGAAATTCATATCTTTGGCACGAACAGGCTCAATAACAGTTTTTTGGGAGGGAACATTCCATGTGCAGGCCTTTGAAGTGCATGCCACTACTAAGTTTGTGAATCCCCCTCTTACAGCTGCTTCAATGCGAAAGAACATGGCAGTAATGTGGACACACGAACCACCCAACCTACAGAAAGGATTACAGTGTATATTGTGGTTTCTTGTGTCTTTTTTAGCACTCTGATTCCTCATTCTAATGCAGAACTGCTAGGATAACATTTCTTTTTTCAGTAGAGCTATATAGCTATATAGGAATTTTTGCGAGGGACATACTGGAAGCTATATGTTACTACAATCACTTACTTTAAAGGAAATCGCTTACCCTGCTGTACAGGTACAAAAAGCACTGTGCATCTCTCCTGACTCTTTCTTCGCACATATCCACACTATGTTTGGTACATCATTTATTTTCATAGAAGGGGTGCATTCTGCCTTCAAGAAACAGTAGTTACAGTTATTATCAACAGGATGTATATAAATTTGTTTTAACCATCCGGCTTTTCCCTCTTTGTACTCATTCAGTAGACGTTTTTGAAGGGAAATATCGTTCCATGGATGATCCTTTATTATGTACAAAGTAATATCACGGAGAAGTATAGGTGGCCACTTGGTCAACCAATTAAGTTCACCTATCCATCCATTATGAAGTTCACTAGGATCCGGTAAAACGCCTTCAGGAGTTTTGAGAAGACTCTCTCTTTCACATTGCATCTGAGCAACCCGGGAGGCAGCATCCAAACAAACAGGCATGTTTTGTTCTGCAGCAGCAAAAACATGGGCAACCAACTCTTCTTTCTTTCCAGAGACCTTAAGACCTCGTTTCTTAAGAAAGTGTTTCAATGCGTCCATTCTCCATGTGTTGATTTCATCGAAAGAAAGTTGCTCAACAGCGGCCATCTTTTTTGTGTAAACTTATTTTCGAACAGGAACAGACGGAACAGGAGCATAAAAAATCTCCAAACAAAACAAGGCAGAGAATCCAATGAAATTCCTCTCCTCCTAGCTTGCTGAGATTACAAACTTGTTTTAGTGGTGCTTACGTTCGATATCGATAGCATACACATGTACATACAAAATCTGTAGTGATGCCCGATTGAACTTTGTACTTACCCACAACCCTGAGCGGCATCTGAGATTCGCGATTTGTGCATAGGAGATATATTTTTGTTTCATCAAGCGTATAAAGGTTTTGATTATTGCGGTATCTAACAAATTAATTAATTAATTGTTTGTACCTTCACTGATCCCGACAGGTCATACCGTTACATTCTTGCGTGACCTCAGTCAGTTTTGAATCCTTCCAGGTCCCCATATATATGGTCGCGTGTGCCTCGGTGGCCACTCTCTTGTTATCTTATGTACCTGTGTAATAGTTGTATGTTTTTTCACTACATATTAGCGCGCGTTTCCTTTTTCCGCTCCTTTTTTCTCGTGCATCTTTTTCCTTTTTTAAGTTCTTATATTGAATCCATATGGTCTTTTATTTCTTCTGTTTTTCAGATGTTTTCGCTAACCCTATGTGGGCTGCACTTAACGATGTCAGAGCTCCCTCCCTACGCTGCTTAGCTAAAAAGCTACCGCAGATAGTCCTTGGTTCCAGGGAAGATTCCACTACTCTTACCTACCTCAACAGTTTTAATTAAGCGATGGCGTGCTCGGGCCAACAGATTTCCCGAGGTCGCAGTGCCGCCTGCTACTCCGGCTTACATTTGTTTGTACCTGCTCAGTGTTCTCTAGGCTTCTAGTTCTCCTGCGCCAGTCCAGAACGCCTTCTATAGCATCTGCTGGGCTCATGATATTGCTGGTTCCCACTCTCCTACTAATCATACACTTCCTCAAAAGGTAGTGGAGTCCGCTAAGAGAAGGCTATTACACCTTACTTCCAAAAAGCTCCCCATTACACCTAAAATTTTACAAAAGTTTTTTCGGAGTCTCGATGGATCTTTGGTGGACATGAGATTCATCGCCATGGCGTTACTCGCCTTGGTGGGGTTCTTAAGATTTGACGAATTGGCTAATCTGATTCTTAAAGATTTAGCTCTGCATCACACTCATTTTGAACTTTTTTATTGAAAGCAGTAAAACTGATCAATATCGCGAGGGCACTATTGTCCCATTGTCAAGTCTGGCACGGATCTTTGCCCCTGGAGTAAATTAGAGAAATACTTATCGTAAGCCAAACTCACTTTACCGACATCTTCCCAAGGTGGAGACGACTATTTGTTCGGGAATATTCAAACCAAGTCTGGTTCTCAGTCCATCCGCTCAGGCTCCAAATTGTCTTGTACTAGATGTAGAGAAGTTTTATTGAAGAAGATTGCAGACGTAGGCATCTTAAGTCTTTCTCTTGGCACAGCTTCAGAAGTGGCGGTGCATCTGCCGCCGCTAATGGTGGTATCTCTGATAGACTGTTTAAGCGCCTTGGTAGATAGCGTTCGAAAAACACTAGGATGGTTACTTTGCAGACTCGTTAGGGAGTCTCTATGTCTCTTGGACTGTACTTGTTTCCCGTTCTGTTTTCTCAGCCGCTCCATAGTTCGAGCTGCACACCCATTCCCATCTCTTAGTCGTGCGGAGCTAAACGTAGTGGCAGTGACAGGGAATGTAAATACTTTCCTATTGGTATGAACGCACGTGAGCCGCTATGGCATTAATTGACTCTATTGTTGTAAGGTATATAAGGTTTTGACAGTTGTAATGTATTCATTTCAGCTCTCGAACTATCAAATTTTATTTTTATAGCTTACTTTATTCATCTATCGATTGATTTTTTACCTTTAACACTCAGAGGTTGTGCGACCGCATCGGTTGGGGAATACGTTCCCAATTTTTTCCCATTGGGTTTTTGGGTTTTTCGTATCAGGCGGTGCACTTGAATAGTTTAGCCTGAGTGACTTTATTTAGGAATATTTGTGTACCATTCTTAAGTTATGATGTTGAACTTTGTATGTTATTTGGACGGCATTAAACACTCAGGCTCCATAGTTCGAGCTGCACACCCATTCCCGTCTCTTAGTCTTGAATATAAATAGGAAGTTGCCTATCACACCCATTTTCAGTTTTGAGTGCGGACACAAGAAGATGTCTACATGGACCAGTCGCAATAAGGACACTCCACTTTTGATGCGTTTCCTTGTTAGCTTTTCTAAGACATGTATGACGCACTAAGATATCGGTTGGTTTGTATTTAAAAAAAGCTGGCTGGTAGTAAGACTTTATATGTTTTAAACCAACAACAGGGGTAACAACAGCGCACTGTAAAGTTTCTTTTGGCCTTTTGCGATCTTACAGGAAAGACCAATCTAGCAGCTAACTATATGAGAACATATTAATTTTTTTTATATTACGCTCCATCGTCACATAAGTTTCCCCAGCATGAGATATCTTTCAACATAAAACTGCCAGGATAATGCAGTTTTGAAAAGTGTGTGAAAGTTACAGTTTTGTGTATAAAAAATGTCTATTTGTTAAACAATATTGGTACCATAGATTACAGAGTATGATTTCTTCCTTTCTTTTATTTGCCACGGAAATTCAGGATTCAAGAGGTGGAAAGAAGCAGAATTCTCAAAACGCTTCAGAACATGACTACTTGGCAGGTTCGGAAAGTTACATCAAAGTGCAAGGGCCAAGAAAACTCGAATGCCCAGCAAACCTGCAAGTGCATACAATTCAATCGTACGTCGATTATACTTTACCACTAAATTAGATCTTCTCTAAGAAAGGTCTACGGAAGGCAAAGGCTCAGAGTCTTAAGCAGTGGATGACCACTAAATGAGATCTTCTCTAAGAAAGGTCTACAGAATGCAAAGGCTGTGATTCTTAAGCAGTTAGTACATGACAGGGAAATTGGCAAACACCTTAAAACAGTAAAGAGGTACTATTTCAAGCTTCCCCTCAGTACAAGACATGAAGCACATCCAGTTGGCGAGGCTGGAACTATAGGCCACTCTATACATCCAAAGATCACTAGCAAGATCCGTGAGTTGGTAGGTGAAAACATAACTAGTACAGATGTGGTTAGAAAATGTTTGGAGCAGTACGCACAGAAAGAAATGTTCGGAGGTAATGCAGCACAGCAGAAACCTATAAAGTCCAACCGCAGATACTACCCAAGCAGGCAGGATTTGCGAAGTCATGTTGCGAGAGCAATCAGTGCCAGCAAGTATTGTGGTGATGATCAAGAGTCGCTAAAGGGAAAGGTTGATCAGTGGTGTTGTGAGTCGCCGACATCTAAGTTCTACATAAGAACAAGAGATGACAACACCGATGGTAACGAAAGCAAGTTCATGTTCGTTCACCAAGAAGAATGGCAGCAGAGGCTTCTCCTTAGGTATGGAAGCGAACTTGTAATATATAGATTTAGCCAGGGCTAAAAGCGAAGCTCTGGTTAATAATACTTGTAAACAAAAAAAATTAAATCGTCTAATGCTAAACGGGGAGGCCAATGAAAATGGCATCAATAGATCTAATTAGCAAAAAAACAAATTACACGTGCAGCACACTTTTTTTTTCTAATTAGCAAAAAAACAAATTTGCACGTGCTGCATGCTTTTCGTCTTTCTTTGCCGTTGTTTTGCACAACTACAACGCTGTTTTGTAGGACTAAAACGTCAAACTTCCTAGTTGCACATTATTTTTATGGAGGAATTGCTTACCCAATATTTTGTCTCCTGTGTTCATGTTCGCTTTCATTTTTCACTGCCGCTCATTTTCACCTTGCTGGCCAATAGCATTTCTCATTGTCTCACAGCTGCTTTTAATTTTCATGTTTTTCTTTCTACAAAATTCTTCTCTTGTTTTCAGTCACTAGCTCTCGCTCAGTTTCTCTGTTATCCATGTGAGAGTAAACATCAAAAATAACGTCGAAAAAGACACGACTTTGTTGTTGTTTTTTCTTTCTAAAAGTCAAGGCGGCCATGCGATTTCTTTCCAAATGAAAACTGGTTACTATACCTGTTAATTGAATTATTTTACATTGGTATGTCTGTGGTGCGGACGGACGGTCGGGCAGGCGGGCGGTCGGTGTACGGTCACGCGATTACCAAATTTTCTCGGATGGGTAGTTTACCACATTTTTTTACCCATGGTGCTCCGCTGCGTGCTTTGCGCGTGAGAGCTCCGCTACTAAGGGACGCTACTTACAAAACCACAAAGTATGCAATTCCTCTCTTTTTCATATGTGTTAACACTTTTTTTTTTGTATCTTTTAATCCCTTTGCAATTTTATAGCTTTTTGTTTTTACAATATATATCTAGTTTTGAGGTCCTTTTTGAAAACCACATCTTTTATGAAAAAGTTTCGTCAATAAAGATGATTATTATTTAATGTTGGATACAAGGTGATGGCAGAATTTCTTTGCCAAAACAAAGACAAAGAATGTATCGCAGAGGCTCTAAGTACTATCAAGGGCTGGAATCCAACTTGGGATCCAAAGTATTTTATGGTAGATTATTCCATAGCCAAAATCAATGCAATCGAGGCTAGTTTCCGGAAGTTGCCATTTACATTTGTTTTCATAGAGAACAAGCGTGGCAAAGATGGGCCAAAGCTAGGAAAAAATGGCCTAACGTTGGGTGAACAGGCGATGTTTTTGGAATTCATGCAGCAAATCGCTCGCCCAAGAAATATCCAAAGTTACCAGAAGTCAGTGGAAAGCCTACGAAAGAGCACGTTGTACGCTGGCAACCCTCAAGTAGAAGATTACTGTGAAAAGGTGTGGCTGAGCTGCTCTAAGCGCTGGTGTCAT